TGCAGCCCAGGGAGGGAGCCAGGCAGAGCAGGAGAGGCTGTGCCCCATGCAGGAGCTGCAGAGGGGACACTGCTGTGAGCACACGGAGCGAGGCTTGTCCTGCACACCTGATCAGCTCTGGCAGCAGGAACGGGGCTGGGGCGAGGGTTTGCTGGCAATTCCTGATCTGCACAGTCACACAGTCAGGCCTAAGTGTCTCTGCTGTATTGCAGAGTGAAAACTGACAATTGTGAGTCTTGGTCTGGAGTTGTTCGGTGCAATAATGGAATCACAGAATCCTGGAATGGTTTGGGTTGGAAGGGACCTTAAGGCTCATCCAGTGCCACCCCAGCCATGGCAGGGACACGTCCCACTGTCCCAGGGTGTCCCAGCCCCAGTGTCCAGCCTGGCCTTGGGCACTGCCAGGGATCCAGGGGCAGCCCCAGCTGCTCTGGGCACCTGTGCCAGGGCTGCCCACCCTGCCAGGGAACAATTCCCTCCCAATATTCTCCTATCCCTGTCCTCTGGCAGTGGGAGCCGTGCCCTGTGTCCTGTCCCTCCAGACCCTGAGCTTTGCCCCTGCTCCTTCCCCATCTCCAGAGCCTCTCTGACCCCTGCAGCTCCAAGGGAGTGCAGAGGTGGCTGTGGTCAGCTCCTCTGACCTGCCCAGCAGCACAGGCTCTATAATTACTCCCTGGAATATCTGCCTCAAGCCAGAAGTTGTGTGCTGGAACTGAAGGAGGCTCTGTCTAATGAGCCTGTCCCTGGATGTCAGCAGTAATTAATGTGCATCACCCTGCAGGTTCCCACCTCCTCTTAATAGGCTGAAATTCTATCCTCTGGTTATAATTGCAAATTATGGTTAAAATTTTACATGCCTGGGAGTCGGGAAGCTGGATGCTCCAGCTTATTCCCCTGTGGGTACACGTGGGGATGTTGCTGAGATGGTTCCAGCCCCTCCTTTCACTCCTGGCCCTCTTACATTTGACTTCCACCCTCGTCACCCTCTTCTCCTCCCTTGTCCCCTTCTCTTTCTCACTTTGTCTCCTCCTTTCCTCACCTTTCTTTGCCTCCTTTTCTGTGTCTGAGGGGCAGCATCTGAGCCTAAATAACTGCAACTCTTTGACCTCATTTGGCTGGAGGAGACAGCTCAGCTGCTGCTCCCGACGTTCCCCGTGGCCATCAGTGCCCAGCTGAGGGTGAAGGATGCACAAACTCTCTCTCAGCTGATGGCAGAACGCTCCCGCTGCTGCACCCGCTGCAAAATCTCCTGCCTGGAACCAGGCTGCAGTGCTGGAACTGGCCTGGGGCCAGTGCTGAGCCCTCGACCGTTGCCATAGTGTTAGAACTATTCATTCTTGTAGGAAAATATTGCACAAAGAGGTGACAGACATTTATTCCAGATCCAGGGCAGGTTGATGGGGAGCAGCTCGGTGGCTGGATGCCATCGCCAGGTGAGCCTCTCTCGAGAAGAGGTTCAGTCTTCTTTCCCAAATCTTTTCACCAAAAAACAGTAATTAAGGAATAAGAGAGAATCCGGGCTTTGTTCCTGCCGATGCTCCGTGCACGGGAAGCTGGGAGCAAACGTGAGGTGGTGAATGATGGGTCAGGAGAGCTCCCAGGGACGGTTCCAGCTGCCCTGCAAGGCTGATGGCAATGCTGACAGCGCTGTTGACCACTCGAATTACGGGCAAGCCCTGGGAGCTGGGCCCCACTCTGACATCTCTGCCGGCCAGCGCTGGCTGGTGTCAGAGCTCAGAGCTGAGGACAGCGGGTTTATATAATTTCAGATGTAGATACCTGCTGAAAGGCAAAGCAGAGCTGACAGCCCCGCTCCCGCCTCTGGGAAATGCCAAATGTGTCCAAACACAGCAGGCTGCACTCAAACAAGGAGCGCTCCCGAGAGCAGAGGGCTGTGCTTTGGTCATTTCAGCACAAGAAGTAGTTACTGATTACAACATTTGCATAATTGAGAGATGAACAGCCCTCCTTTACCCCTGTGGCCGCTGGCCGGGGTCTCCAGCCAGGCCCCTGAGCCTGGGCCCTGCTCCAGCCTGTCCTGGACAACACCCTCATGTCGTTCTCCACACCTCACCTGCACCTGCTTGGCTCTGAACGCTCCAGCTGCCCGTGGGTGACGTGTTGTAAGGGATGGCAAACACGTGGATTACGTACAGAATAGATAATCAATGGTATTTTCTATTGAAAGCACAGAACCACGGAATCATGGAAGGGTTTGGGTCGGTGGGGACCTTAAATCTCATCTTGTCCCACCTCCTGCCATGGGCAGGGACACCTTCCACCATCCCAGGCTGCTCCAAGCCCTGGCCAGGACGGGGAACATTTGAAGGGATCCGGCAGCCACAACTTCTGTGGGCAGCCCGTGCAACTCTCTGAGTGAAATTTAACCTGCTGGAAAACAAACACGGCTAAGAATTCACTTTACATTTGGAAAGCTGCATTTTGAATTTTTTTAGCTCAAAACTGCAAGCGACAGAGAATCCAAATCGGGAGAATTTGTAGGATTTACAGTATAAATTATTAAAAGGGAAAGAAAAAGACGTTACTCACGAAAAGTGCATTCTTGTCGATCAAAGCTGCAAACAGAGAGTACTTTTATAAAGGCATCTGCCAGCCTTTGATATGCTCTGTGGAAACCTTGTCAGGTATTTTGAGAGTGGAACGTGGAGCTGTCGGGCTCCAGTGCTGTTCCCTGTCTTGAGGACAAGGCAGAGGCAGCACAGGGGGGTGAGCTCAGCCCAGGGGCTCCTGTGCTGCCTCAGCGAGCGGCTCTAGGAAAAAAAAAAAATGCAGAAAGCTGGAACCTGAACAAAATCGTTCCCTGGGTGGAGGAACAAAGTGGCAGCGGCGCCGTGGCCCAGGCAGAGGCTCGGCACAGCCGGGCTGCTGTGAATGTGCTGCTCATTAAAGTGCTCAGCTGCTGAAAGCAGCACCTGCCAGCGCCCAGGATCCCATTCTCCAGCAGCAGCTCAGCTGGTTCAGAAGGGGAGCTCGGAGGCAGATGAACAATTTATGCAGAGTGGGATCCATGACAAAGTAGCAGCTACTTTGGTGAATACAAGCATCTTTGTACAAGTGCCCAGATGGTTCAGGAGCGGGGCCGTGGCTGTGAAAAGCGCCCTTGTTGTTGCAGGCTCGGCAGCACGCCCCTGACAACGTGCCGTGGTCTGGGAGCTGCAGGATCCCACACAGGACACGTCCCCGGCTCTGCTGGCAGTTTTTCTGCAGGATAATGTCCTTCCCATGGCATCCCCACTGCTGCAGCCCCACCGTGCAACGCCGTGTTCCCGCTCTGTCCTTTGCAGCACCTTGCCCTGCTGGACACTCAGAGAGCCAAGCCTTGTCCTCAGGGACACGTGGGGCTGTGGGCTTGAGGGGCACACAGGGGTGTCCAGCCCCACAGCCAGCCTGCCTGGGGATGGGGTGACAGCCTGGGAGAGACCCATCTCTCATCACCCATCATGAGATAACCTTGAACCGGAGGATCCTGATGGATCCCAACCCCACTCACCAGGAGAGCCCCTGGCCTGAGAGCAGCTGTCCTTCCCGTGGGGGCTGGAAAGACGTGCAGGGAGAGCCCCTGCCCTGCAGCCAGGAGTGATCTGGAGGGGCTGGTGGGAACAGCTGGGGAAGGTGAGGAACATGGCTCTGTGAATCACCTTTCTGGTTGGGAAAGTCGGAGCAGAGAGAGTTTGGGGAGAGGCTGGACAGCTGTGGCCCATGGAGGCTGCTGCTCCTGGGGGGAGGATGGAGCTGCACTGCAGCCCGGCAATGCAGCTGAGGGGACAGAGGCGAGGCTCCAGGAGAAGAGGAGCTGAGGCAGGAAGGTGCAGTGGGAACAGGGCCTGTGGTGCCGTGAGACAGACTGGGGACAGCTTAACACAGGTCCTCACTGTGGTTTGGTTTGGGGATTTGTCGGTGTGTGTGGAGCCAGAGAGGCGTGGGGAGCACTGCTGAACCTCTTTGGTGGGGGATGGCTGTGGGGACTGGGACACCCAGGCAGGGGAAGGGCTGGGGCTGGAGACAGAAGCCTTCAGGGTGCTGGCTGGATTCCCATCCTCTCTGGGCACTGCTGATGCTGCCACCAGGTATTTCAGTGCCCCAGAGCAGCACCAGCCGCATCCCAGCAGCACTGATGGCTCTTAGAGTCCATTTTCTCCAAAAGCCGGAGATTTAAAGGTTCCCCTCCATGGCAAATGAACACTAAGGGACAAGCTCACATCCTGGGGGCCACGCTGGCACTTTGGCTGGCTCTGCTGGAAGGGCCGCGGCGGATGCCAGCCCTCCATGAGGATCCAGCCTGGTAAGGGAATTGGGCTCTGACAAGAGAGCTGGGCACGGGCCGGTGCTTCGGCAGGGACTGTGGGCCGGCTGGGTCACGCCCAGTCACCTGCCGACCTTGGGGACACGGAGTCCCCGGGGCAGCCCCCGCCCCTCTGATCGGGGGGTCTGGCTCGCCCCCCCTGCCTCGGGTCCGACCCTGCTCGGCATCACCGGCGGTGCCCGGTGCCCCGCGGTGCCCAAACCGGGGCCGCCCCTGTGCCCCGAGCCGCTGCCCCCGCTGCGGGGGAGCCCCGGCCGGGCTCGGGGAGCGGCCGGAGGATCGGACCCGGTGTCCGCGGTGCCTCCCCCCGCTCCCCTCCCGCGCGGGGCTCCCGGCGGAGGCGGCGGGGCCGTGCCGCCCGTGCCGCATTGGTTTGCGGCGGAGCCCGTCACCGCCGCCGCGCCGAGATTGGCCCCCGCAGCGACCCCCGGGCCCGGCCTCCTCCCCGCCCGCCGAGCGCCGCGGCCCGGGCAGGGCACGGGCACGGGCACCGCGCTCCGCTCCGCTCCGAGCCGCCCGCAGCGGGGGCAGGACCGGGCCGAGCCGGGCGGGGGGGCGCGCCCAGAGCCCCTCCCCGCACCGCCCCGCACCGCCCCGCACCGCCCCGCACCGCGCCGGCAGCGGGATGTGAGGCACGGCTCCGCCGGCAGCGCCCGCCGCCCCGCGCCCCGGGAAGATGCTGAGCAGGTGGATGAGTGGCAGCAGCAGGAACCTGGACCGCGAGTACAACTGCACCGTGCGGCTGCTGGACGACAGCGAGTACACCTGCACCATCCAGGTCAGCCTCCGCGGCACCGGCACCGCGGCCGCGCTGCCCCCGCAGCCGCCCGGCCCCGGCAGACAAAAGGACGGAGCGGCGGGGGCGGCCCCGGTGCTGCCCCGCGCCGCCAACAAAGGCGGCCCCCCCGCTCCCGCCGCCCGCCTCCCCCCGGCTCTCGGGCGGGGACCGGAGCCGCGGCTGCCGGCGGCGGGGAGAGCCCCGGGGCTGAGCCCCGCAGCCGCGGAGGGGTGCGGGGATGGCGCCGAGAGCCGCCCGCCTGCCCCCGGCGCTGCGATGCCCGCAGCACCCGGAGCGCCGCCGGAGCCGGAGCGGGGCACGGGCTGCCCGGCACGGCCGCCTCGGGGCCGGGGGAGCCGCGGCCGTGCCCCGCGGAGCCGCTCGGTGCGCGGGGGCCGCGAGCAGCGCGGGGAGGACGTGGGTGCCAAGTGGAGTACGGGGGATGCGGCGGGCGGGGATGCGCGGGGACCCGCGGGGCAGGGATGCTGCGGGGCAGGGATGCGCGGGGGTGCTGCTGGCAGGGACCGACCCTCCCGGCCCCGCCGCAGCCGGGTGCCCGCTCTGCCTCCCCCGTTAGCGCCCGGCTCGCCGTGATGAGCGCTCGGGTTTTGTAATCGTCCGGAGCGGCGGGGATGGGCGCGCATCCGCCGCCCCCCGCGCCCCCGTGCCGGGAGGGACCGGGACCGGGAGCCGGAGCCGTGCTGGGGCCGTCGCCCCTCGGCCGGTGTCCCCGCGCCGCCAGGACTGCCAGGGGCATCGCTCAGCGCGCAGATGTCGTGGGATGCGTCGTATTGCTGAAAACTAGGGAAACGCACTCCCGGGCTCCGCTGGAGCGACTCCGGTACCGGGACCGTGTGACCGGGGGCTGAGAGAAGCATCCCCGGCTCCGGCTGCTCCTCCGCTTCATCCCTGCCATCGGCATCATCCTCGCAAGGGAGCTCACCGAGAGCTGCGCGGAGCCGCACGCGCGGGGATTGCTGCTGGAGGCGGCTGGCCCCAGCCCAGCCCGTGGGCGATGGAAAATTCGGGGCAGAGTTTTGAGTAAAGGTGACTCAACACGTCAATAGCAACATCTCCCGGCGCGGGGCCCGCAGCTCTCCCTGCCCTGCGATGCCGAGGAGGGGTGCACATCCCTTCATTTACAGGCACAAACCTGCTCCTGCCGACAGTGCCAAAGGACGGTTACCAGGGGTGCTGCGGGCTATGGGAGGCACCGTCATTTCGGCTTAAACAGTCTAAAATCGATAAATAGGGTGATTTGTGCAAATACCGCCGAAGAATGGTGGTAACGCCGCCGGTCCCCGCTCACCTCCCCCGCCGGGGTTGTAAAGTGTGACCCAGTAAACAGCTCCAACAGCAGCCCGGTTTATTTTGCATAAGCCAAACTAATTCGTCTCTCAGAGGTTGTTTTTAATACTAATTAAATGGGAAACTGTAGTTTGGGAGAGAAAGTGTGGGCAGAGCGGTTCAGAAAAATCTGGATTTTCTGCCCTTAAGACAATTTGACAAGGTGTCGTCATTTTGCATGTCAGTTTTTTTAAAGAGGAAATACTACTTGGTCCCATATTCCGGCTGGTATTTTATGTGTAGCATAGTAAACACGGATTCCTGGTATTTAGCATGCACGACCTGAGGGATGAAGAATTTGCTCCTGCTACCCTGACAAGCAAGGTTACCCCACTTAAATGTTTGCTCTCGCTCGCTTTCGTGCTGCCTTATAAGCCAAGTATTTATAGTCCATGCGAAATTAGGGAGAACATAGCAGGAATGTGTAATGTCTCGCAAGTGAGGAAGCCGTCACCGCGCAGGCTGCGAGCGCTGAATGAGTTTTGAAGGTCATTCCCTCACGAGCGCAGAGATTTCACATCTTGCCGAGATCCACGGTGTCTCCTCAGCCAGGCTGGTTCTGCGCCTGTTGGATGTGATTTATGCCTTTCTATTTTTGCTGGAACCCGGAGAAGCCGGCCGGAGCTCGCCGTGCCGGGGATGCGGAGCCGCGCCTGCAACTTTGTGCCCGAGGTTCTGCTGCTGTGGCCGTGTGTCCTCCCTGGCAGCAGGGCTGAGGATGGGCTCGGTGCCCTCCCTGGAGCCCGGCCTGTCTGATGGGTCAGCTGGCTTCACCGCTGGGGAGGAGGAAGCAGCACTGGAGGCAGAGCTAGTTTTTAAGAAGGTTTATTTACATTTCAGATGATGGCATCGGTTAAATCTGTCAGAAAATTAACCTCTGCCTGCGCTCGATGAAGGTGTGTGAGTAGGGGTTTGGTGCTGCCAAATCATACCTGAGCATTCTGCTTCTAAATAAAACCCTTTTTATTTGATTTTCCAAGGTTTGCTTTGTTCATATTCCCCTATGAACGAGCAGTTCATTGTCTGAGCTGGGATTCATCCTTCCTCCTTTTCCCCCGGATTTTCACTCCCATCCCAGCAGGCAGAGGAGCCTGGAGGACTCGTCAGTGGGGCCCCGGGTGCTGTCAGGGGACAGAGGTGCCACGGGCACAGGGAGTGGGGTGCAGGGGGTCGGGGCAGGGGGTTGGCCCCTCCATGAACCTTTCATTGTGAGGTGTTTCTGTGAGTTCCAGTGCTTGCTGCTTGGGGGAGATCCTGTCCCAGCACCTGTCTGGGTCAGTCTGTGTGTGCCAGCGAGCAGGGCTGGGCCCTCAGCCCTGCCAGGACCCGGGGCCCTCAGCCCTGCCAGGACCCGGGGCTCTCAGCCCTGCCAGGACCCGGGGCTCTCAGCCCTGCCAGGACCCGGGGCTCTCAGCCCTGCCAGGACCCAGGGCCTGGCAGCACTGTGTGAACAGGAAGATGTTGGGTTTTGCCTGGGAAAAGCTGATGTTTAAGGGTCCCCCAGGCCACGGAGGCAGCTCTTAAGGCAATAAATGTTTGTGTGTGGGGTCCCTCAGGTGTGAGCAGTGCCATCCCTGCCCCACGTGCTGGCTGTCACCTGCGGCCGTGGGGACACTGCTCGGGGCTGGCACTGTCCCCAGCGTGTCCCCAGCGATCGGGGGCTCCCAGAGGGGGGCAGCCGTTCCTGAAGGCGTTCGCTCATCTCCGTGCTGAGGGGCTGCTCCAGCTGTTTCATTTTAATGTTTGAAGTGTGTTAAATGTGTTCAATTTTGTTTGATGTGTGTTTAATTTGAGCGTCACCCCCGTGTCTCCAGGAGGGACCGGCGCAGGCTCCTGGCAGTGGCGAGAGCTCCCAAACACCAGCAGTGCTGTGGTTTGCTGTGAGCCAGTTCCTTGTCTGAGGAAATGATTTAAATTCTTCACTGCGGTGTCAGTGGTGGCATAAAAGGCTCGAAATAATTAACGATTTGCCGTTGCTGGATGCATCAAGCATTTTCCTGGAAAGACGGTGGAGTTTTGTTTCAAACCCCAATAGAACAACGGGAACGTGGAGATGTGAGAAAATAAATATATGGTTTCTTAGATGCCGAATGTAAGAACTTCTTTGCCTAAGATTGGGAAGAAATGAAAGCGAGCTCCTGGCTGCCCTCTGGGACAAAGCCCCTGCTTCCCTCTTGGAGCAGCAAGTTCTTTAGGATCCCTGACAGGATCATTAATATCAGGCAGCAGCACAAAGGGGAGCTGGGGGTTTGTGGCAGTGAAGGTTATTTGTTCATTAGCTTTTTATCTTCGGAGAGTTTCCAATTGCTTTTCCTGGGAAGTAGGTTAGGAGAGCGCGGTTCCGCAGGCTCCGAGCCCGAGCACGGGCAGCGCTCTGGGGGGCCAGGGCACAGGGCAGGGGCTCTGTGCCGAGCTGGTGGTGCCTGTCTGCCTGTCTGTCTGTCTGTCTGTATGTCTGTCTGTCTGTCTGTCTGTCTGTATGTCTGTCGGTCTGTCTGTCTGCCTGTCTGTCTGTCTGTCTGTCTGCCTGCCTGTCTGTCTGTCTGTCTGTCTGCCTGTCTGTCTGTCTGTCTGTCTGCCTCTCTGCCTGTCTGTCTGTCTGTCTGTCTGCCTGTCTGTCTGTCTGTCCCACAGCCCTCCCTTCCCTCCACAGCTGGAGCCGGAGTGCGGGGATGGGGACCGGGGCCAAAACATTGTCAGAAATTGGGGGATTCGGGGGAATCCCAGAATTGGGGGGATGCGGGTCTCACTCAGGGTCCCACTCAGGGTCACACTGAGGGTCCCACTCAGGGTCACACTCAGGGTCACACTCAGGGTCACACTGAGGGTCACACTGAGGGTCCCAATCAGGGTCTCACTCAGGGTCACACTCAGGGTCACACTCAGGGTCACACTCAGGGTCCCACTCAGGGTCACACTCAGGGTCTCACTCAGGGTCACACTCAGGGTCACACTCAGGGTCACACTCAGGGTCACACTCAGGGTCAGCAGCGCAGTTCAAGCCCCCTGAGCACCCCCCTCTCTCTCGTGGTCCCCCCGGCCGGGGCAGCGGCTCCCAGGGAGGCTGAAAGCGTCACCTCAGCTTTGCTGTTGGCTGTTGGAAGTGATGTTTTTATTCATAGCCTGGGAAATGTGTTTGCAGCAGAAAGGCGTCGTTGTGGCTCAGCTGTGGCTCTGTGAGCTGCCGGGACAGCTCCTTCGCCCCTGGCTCCAGCATTTGCATCCACTCGGCTTCATGGGCTCGGGAGGAAACTGCCTGAAATGCACAATGAGTTTGAAGGGAAAACAGCAGTCAAAGCAGAGCACTTCATCTCCTTTTCTTCTTAAATTAATCTCCAAAAGATACAGAAGGCAGCTGAGGAAAACATCCACTAAATGCCTGCTGAAAATGGGGGACAATATTCACATTTCAGTGGGAGCAGAACCCCGAGTTGTTTTGCAAACCCGTGGAAAATATTTCCATTGCTGTTCTTCCCCCGCCAGCCGAAATGTCTGTTTTCTGTTCACTTCTCATACCTGTTTTACAACGTTACCTGCTGTGAACCCGCCGGCTATTCCCCCCTCAGGAGCCAATTTCCTGACAGAACTACTTTGCTTATCACCTTCCTGTGGAAGATGCTGAAGGCAAACACAGAGCCGGAGTCAGATAGAGATGTAGATGTCCTCACGCTCGTGCCCACACACGGAGATGCCGTTGGAGAGAGATGTGCACCACGGCACAGGAAAAAGGAATTTGCTCCTTTTGTCGTGTCAGAATTAGGTAACGTGCAGCAGGAGGCTTTTTTTGAGGCATCTGGGGAATTCTGAAAGTGCCGTGAGCAGCCCACTTATTTTTAATTTGTGAGTCAGTCTCCGGGAGCCCAGAGGGATCGTGGACACGGGGGTGACGTCGATGGGCACGTGCTGGCAGCCCAGGAGCACACGAGGCCTTGGGGTGCCCCGTGCAGGAGCAGAGGCACTGAAAGCTCCTGAGATCCTCTCTGACCTGGCACATCTGTTTGGGCACCTCACAGCTGGCTCCTCCTGGAAGCTGTGCGGGCAGCGAGACCCCGACTGAGACACCACCAGTGCTGGAGATGCTCTCAGTCTGTGGAAACTCCTCCCAGCTCGTGCCAGGGTGGGGTTTGCTCCGGGGTGTGGGGCAGAATCCTGGAGTGCTCTGGGTTGGGAGGGACCTCAAAGCCCCTGCAGTGCCCCCCTGCCATGGCAGGGACACCTTCCCCTGTCCCAGGGTGTCCCAGCCCCAA